AAAATAAAAACCAACAAATTTTAACTTGAGCTTGAACGGCATTAATGTAAAATTAATAAAGAATAATCGGTTATAGGTATCGGCCAAAATTTTCATATCGGTGCATCCCTAGTTTAAATAAATTCTCTGATTTTAAACTTGGAATAAATAGAAAAATGCAGAATAAATACATTTAAATAAATATGCATACTTCTACATTTTAGTTTTGCTTAGAATAAATTGTAAAACATTAGAACATTAGATTAATTAATTAATTGATTAATTAAAGAAAAATTTCGTTAAAAAAATCAAAAACATAAAAACATTTAAATAACTTATAATTATCATGAGCACTTAAACAGAATTAAAACAATTAAAAAAATGTTTAATAAATCCAAATGAATACATTTCTTTAATTTTTAACTTAGTGCTTGGACGAAATGAATCATTAAAAAAAAAGTGCTGTAAAATAAATACATTTAATTAAATTTCCAAAATGTCTACATTTCCTGAGAACTTCAATTATCTAAAAAAATTAATAAAAAAAACCTAGATAGTAATATCACCAGTTTTAAGACAGTGGTACCAATTTAACTTTCACTATGATCCCACAGAGTAAGACTTTGTCACATATGAGTATTTGTGTTTAGCTCATGGTAAAGTGTGTATGCGAGTAATCTAGAGGCCATTACGGCAAGACTTGTCACCCTCACTCGGATGTTACTTTTCACCTCCGTGATGAGTTTTAAATCAATCCTGCCTGACTGCACGATGGTAAAACGAGCCCGATTACTCATCTCACTGATGTCAAACCACATTTTGATGATACATATATAACTGACCGTCCAAATGACCCATTCATACCAATGAGTGAATGACCAACGTGCTCCGAAAACACACTCAAATCATGACTCAGGAAATCTGCGTTTTCACTCACCATCTTTAGCAAAACTGAAGCTTTCAAATTTCATATGTATTACATTAAAGCTTTTAAAATTTGATATATACCACACACACACACATCTACAGAACATACAATCAAATTACACCAGTAATGATTGTCGAATTGTGAAAAAAATAAACAAATGCTCCCTGATGACTACATATTGAATAAATGTGCACTCTGAATACACACCATGTTTCACCCACTACTCTTTGGCTGAGGAAAATCAGTTATGACGGTAATGAGATTTTCAGTTTTTGTCCGAGCGGGTGAGAGAATGAGTGAGCGAGCGAGCGAGCGAGAGAACGGGAGAAATGGAGGATGCCGTGAACCATCAGATTCTCCTGACAATGAAAAACATTCCCTCCTCCGGCAGTGATCCCATCCTGACGACTGAAGTGTGAGGGGGATATCAGCATCAATAATCTTTCATCAAGTCAAAAGCACTCGGCTGCAGCCTGCCAAGCACTCAATAGACAACTGTGAGCCATCACTCGCCGCCGAGTGAGAGAAAAGAACAGAGACAGAGAGCTGAAGCACTCCGGGTGGTGAGGAGATGGAAAGGGCCATCTTACTTTTCACGCTATCTGCTGCACGCACTCTCACTCTTTTGTAAGGCAGCTGTTACATCTTTGTTCACGCTCTCCACTGAGGGAAATCCTGACGCTGGCTTGCATACTATGAAGCAGCAGGTCACTCCACTGTCTTGTAAACAGATATTACAGCAGGTAAACAAAGGTAAATGAATACACAGGCAGAGACACACATAATTCAGAAGGCTGATTTCCCTGAAATCCCTCAGCAAACGTTATATCAAGCGATATCAAACACACTATTAACTGAAGATGCACAATATCTGTATTAGCATCTGCAGATGACCATATTCTGAAATGACTGGCATCATTATGATTGGCTAGTTGGAAGCAGATAATATAATGATATCATAAAAGCAAATAATGTTTCCAATTCCGACTATATAATACAATTTCATTTAATTTTTAGTACAATAAAATACTTAAAATAATATAATATTATATAATTATTATGACAATATATAACACTTTAAAATAATATAACGTTATCAGTTATTTTAGTATTATTTAAATACTATTATTTTTTATTAATATACTGAATTTTATTTGATATATTTTCAGTTTTCATTTATTTCGATTTTTAGCAATTTTATGTGCTTTTATTTTCATTTTTATTTAATTTTTGCTCAGTTTTTTTTTTCCAGTTAGTAATTTTAGTACTTCTACTTAAACTTATTACAGGTATTTGCCAAGGCAACATTTCTCATTTAAATTTAATTGAAATTTCTCATCTAATATTTATTTTATTTCAGCTTAATTTCAATTGAGAAAAGTATTTTAATAGTTTTAGTTAATGGTAATAACCCTGAATATTATTATAAAATTATTTAGCCTCTTTTAAAATGCTAGCTCTCGTAAAATAAATTAAATAAATAAATTTTTATTACCATATCAGCATCAAAGCTTATATTCATGGCATAAATAAATAAATGATTGAATGAAAAAAAGGAATATAATATACAATTACCAGATATCATAAAAACAGAATACATGTATAATACCAGTCTTAAATAAATAAATACATACAGCTGTATTTTACATATCACCTTTAAATGTGGTTTTCTCAAACTGCTTTTAGTTTTAACAAAAATTTAAAAAAAATATATATATAGCATCCTTCAATTTAAATCTGTAGGACTGCTTTGACCTGTTTAATCATGCACTAGGCAAAAATGATACGTTCAGATGCTGAGAAAAGTATCAGCACAGCTCTTCTCATCAAGCCACATACTTTTAGGCATCATTCATGCTTGTAACAAATATGCATAACAAATTATGCATCAGCATGTCTCAGCCTGATCTAACAGATAAAGACATAAGTCTGAGTTCAGCAGCATTAAAATAAATCCTGCATTATGATGCATTAGACCAAAGCGCAGGCCGTGTCTGACGGGACTCGTACCCTCAGGAGTGACTGATACACCCCTCTGAGTGATGGATAGCAGTCAGAAAGCTCTCAGTTCAGCCCCAAGGGGAGTGGTTTGGGACTGTAATAGTGTCCTTAATTGCCACCAAAACACTCTTTTCTCCAGGTCATTAGACAGATTGGGAATGTGAGCGAGTGTGTCAGGCTTAAAGCGGGAAACACCTCGAGACATCGCCTGGAAGCGGAGCAGGTGAGCAGCTCCAGACAATGGTCTATGGACCCTATTATCTCCTGAAACATCTCATCTTCTTCAAACAGCACTAATGGAGTGATGATTGGGTGAAGACTCCGACACAATCCAGTCATTGATCATGGAACTGACACTGGATGTGATGCTTATTGAATATGCTTCCACATCCTGAACAGAGTTCAATCTTCAAATACTACACTTCACTTTCTTAAATACTTACAGCCGCCATGTTTGATGTCTGACTACGCAAAACAAAGCATTCTTTGAGTTTTTAATACATGAAACATTTATAGAGCCTCATTAAGAAGTCCAAACATTATTCAAATTGACCACAAGCTTGTATTCAGGCAAAGATTTAGGGGAAAAAATATGTTTCCATTCAAGTTTTAAGATGAATTGTTTCAAGATTATTGTTTTAAAATTGAAAAAATGTTTTGTAAAGAATAAACTAGGGTTACAAAATTTTAGGAAGACAAATATCTAATTGCATTTGTTCTGATAAAAATGCAAATTTTTAATAAAATTTTTAATGCAAAGCTCCAGGTTTTCTGTGCTTGTTTTAGACCTGCACAGTTTAGCCAAACATTATTACATTATATTATATTATAATGGTTATTATCATAACAGCATATTATTGCTATTAAATAAAAAAAAAATTAAGAAAATAAGATATTACTATTTTAATTAATAATAAAAATAATAATAAAAAATATTTTCAAGCTAATATTAATATTTATGGCTGTCTTAATTGATTTTTGAACGTTAAACCATCAAGATTTTATTCTGGTAGAAATATGCAGGAAGCCTTTAAAGCTTCTATTTTGTTAAATTTTTTAAAAAGATCCTGGTTTGCTGTGCTTGTTTTAGAGCTGCACAATTTAGCCAAAAAGTATTACTATTAAACTATTAAATAAAAAATTAAACAAAACAAGAGATTACTATTTTAATTTTTCACTGTAAAAAAAAAAAAGAGTAATAATAATAATAATAAAAATTCACACTAATAGTAATATGTATGGATGTCTTAATTCATTTTCGAATGTTAAACCATCAAGTTTTTATATTACAATTTTTAATGAATTACCAAAAAAAAAAGAATACATTTTTTTTACTATTAAATTAAAACAAGAGATTAAGATTTTAATTCTTCACTGTAAAAAAAATGAGTAATAATAATAATAAAAATAATTTCACACTAATAGTAATATTTATGAATGTCTTAATTCATTTTCAAATTTTAAACCATCAAGCTTTTATTCTGGCAGAAATACACAGAAAGCCTTTAAACCTTCTTTTTTATTTAATTTTTGAATTGTTAAACTATTTTCAATGCAATTTTTTTTAAATGCTCCAGGTTTGCTGTGCTTGTTTTAGAGCTGCACAATTTAGACAATTTAACAACAGAGTAATAATAATAATAAAATAATAATAATTTCATACTATTAAGTGACCCAAACTCAGAACAGATGCAGACATGGAGTTCATGTGGAGCAGCATTTATTGTGAACCAAGCTGCTCTGAGACACTGAAAACACCAGAACACGAGCTGCTCACGTGTAAAACAACACGGTGCCACGTTTCACTTTGAAACATGTAGAACATGTATTTAATTACATCGCAGCCTTTGCAATTTGATGAAAGCACTAAGCCATGTTGCTATTTTGGTTTTAAACTTCTGCAAAATAGAAAGAAACTTGGCTAATAACACAAATAATAAAAAAAATTATTTGATTAGTTAACAAATCTATTATAAACATTACTTCAATTCGTAGGGCCTGAGAGAAAAGAATCTTGTCATGATGAATTTTTGACTTTTAAAACAATCTTGTTTTCAAGGCTACCAGCTAATACTTTGGACAGGTGACCCACCTGGTGCTGTCCACCCCGGGTTTGGTGTATCCCTCCACACAGCCCTCCCATACGCTGTTGGCCATGGCGTTCCCGATGGCTGTCATCCCCATGCTGAGTTCCACAGGCCAGTCGTCCAGGTCCAGAGACCGTACGCGGGACAGATGGGTGCCCAGGTTCCTGTGCATCCCGGAGCACTCGATACAGATCAGAGCGCCGAGGTTCAGACTGGCCCAGTCTGGATCTGAGGGTCAGAGACAATTACAATTCAGTTTTCCTTACCAAAATTACATTTTATGAAATTCAAACTCTGATATGCTATAAGTGTGGTCTGATGGGTCATTTTCAGCAATGACAATCTGAAACGATCCAACAAAAATAGATTTTTTTTTTTTTACATAATTGATTTTATTTCTACATATTTTTACAATTATTTTATTATTTTAAAGTTTGTGAATCTACCCCCCAAATGTCTGAAAAATTATTATTTTTTTTTTATGTTATTTTTAATTATGTTTTATTATATTAATGTGGGTGAAACTACCCTACAAAAATGCCTGGAAAAAATATTTGTATTAAATTATTTACATAATTTGTATTATTTTAATGTGGGTGAAACTACTCACTGGGGGCGTCACAGTCTGCACAGAAGCTGTTTCCCCTCACATTCCTGATGGATTGGATGGTCACTGCATCACTCTGGCTTCCTAATCGAGACTATGTGACATAACAATTCAGTTATCACAGTTTGAAAAGAGCAGAAGGGTACATAAGGCATACTAACCTATTTCCACGGTACCTAAATGAACACATCTTACCTTGTTCTTGCTGCTCTCACAGGACTGTAGACTGGCAAATATCTGGCTCTCAATGGCCTGAACCCAGAGGTCTCTTTCCTCATACGTAGATGCCTCAAAATGCCACATCTGACCCGTCAGGGACACAATGATGAACTCAAAGGACTCCTCTTGCTCTGAAACACACCAAAGGGGAGATGAGTTTGGATACGGTTTTAAAAATTTTAGTTTGCAAACTTTTCAGCGGAAATGATTTGCGTGTCCACAATGAAAGCAAAAATGTTATGCAACATGACACAATTACCAGGGGTTAAAGCAACAAAAAAAAAACTTTACTCTCACAGGACTGTAGACTGGCAAATATCTGGCTCTCAATGGCCTGAACCCAGAGGTCTCTTTCCTCATACGTAGATGCCTCAAAATGCCACATCTGACCCGTCAGGGACACAATGATGAACTCAAAGGACTCCTCTTGCTCTGAAACACACCAAAGGGGAGATGAGTTTGGATACGGTTTTAAAAATTTTAGTATGCAAACTATTCAGCGGAAATGATTTGCGTGTCCACAATGAAAGCAAAAATGTTATGCAACATGACACAATTACCAGGGGTTAAAGCAACAAAAAAAAAACTTTCCGGGGGGGTGCCCTGGTAGGGGGGCAGCACATGCAAAGCATGCAATGACTGTGACAACTTTAACATTTGAAAGGATACTATGGCAAAGTTATCGCTTTCCTTATTCAAACCGATTTTTTTTCATGAATATATGGTTGACCTAAAGAATGATAACTATATCATACACTTGGAAAATTATGAGCTACATCACACTAGGGGTGTGACAATACACTTAGCTCACAAGATGAGGCAAAATACAGATATTTGGTTTACCTAGAACGACAAAATATTTTACTACTATTTTTAAGAAATGTTCAATGACAAAATATTAGTCTTTTAATCATAAAAAGTAAAACAATTCAGTTGTATTTTGAAATATTTTAACTAATCTAGGGCTGTAACTAATGATTATTTTGGTAATCAAGTAAGCTACTGATTATTTTGACAGTTGAATAATCTTGATATTTTTTAGTAACACAAATAAAGTAAAAACTAGGCTTTAGTATGACTATTATAAACTAACGATGAAGCAATAATAATTGGCTCAAATAAAATATCAAAACCAAGTAATTACATGATTTTATTCAACAACACTGTTAAAATACATAATGTAATATGCCTATACATAATATGAACATAACCAACTTAAATACATGATGTATTATAACAAATACCTGCAGAGGGCGCCGACAGCCTGGTGACGTTTCACTTTACAGCGTGATTAAACAATGTTTAAATCCATTTAATTTTCATATTTGGCCACATACAAACTCAGAAACTTTTATTTTGAAATCGCAATGTACAATAAATGGCATATTTAGAAATAGGTTTATGTATTCTCCTGTGTTGGCAAAGGTTTATAATTTTTTTTTTTTTACAAATTTAGTGAGATAATGCACAGTTTTCCCAGATGAACGTTAAGCAATTCAAATTCACGGCATATGCAGAGGAAGAGTTTAGCCTCTTTCACACATATAGTCTTTACTGGTAAATTACCGGTAAGTTACCATTAAGAGATAATGTGTGAACAGGACCTTTTCAAAAATCCTGGTAAATTTGTTCTGGCATATCGTTCTTATGGAGATGACGTGATTAAGTTAACGTTACTCCGAGCTGTTTACAAAGCTCCGCTGCTTTTTAATTCGTTTTTCTGTGTAAATATGGACATCTTTGACCATTGCGACTCTGCAATTGGATACTATTATGCGCATCTCGTTTTTACAAGAACAAAAAATTCTGATTGGCTAGTAATGTTAGTTTGGTTGAGAGTGAAAGCTGTGCTCCTCTCATACCATTGGTAGGCGAACTCATGGACTCGAAAATGATATCAAGTTTTTTCCCCGCAGCCAAACGCTGTACACCGAAGATCCGACACGGTGCCGGAGAACTTTAAGCCCTGAATTACATTACACAATTATCATATTTGATGTTTATTAATAAATGTGACCCTGGATCACAAAATTAGTCTTAAGTCGCTGGGGTACACTTTTAGCAATAGCCAAAAAAAACACTGTGTGGGTCAAAATGATAAATTTTTCTTTTATGCCAAAAATCATTAGGATATTAAGTAAAGATCATGTTCCATGAAGATATTTTGTAAATTTCCTACCGTAAATATATCAAAACTTAATTTTTGATTAGTAATATGCATTGCTGAGAACTTCATTTGGACAACTTTGAAGGCGATTTTCTCAATATTTAGATTTTTTTGCACCCTCAGATTCCAGATTTTCAAATAGTTGTATCTCTGCCAAATATTGTCCTATTATAACAAACCATACATCAATGGAAAGCTATTTATTCAGCTTTCAGATGATGTATAAATCTCAATTTCGAAAAATGTACCCTTATGACAATAAGGGTCACAAATGTGTATTGTTTAATGCAATTAATCCATTTTTGTTTTTACATTTTGTTTGTGTGTGTGTGTGCGTACATATATATATATATATATATATATATATGCTTAAAATTATTTTTTATCATTTTTATTTAAAAACTTTATTTTAAAATATTTTTCTTTACAAATATTATATTAAATAATTATTACATTAAAATAATAATAAAAATATAAAAAATATGACATTGCAGATTAAAGAAACAAAAACATAAATGCCATTATTTCCTAGTTCCAGATCATCTTCACTACAGGCTGAAAATACAAACATTTAAATGGCCAATATCCAAGGTGCATTATGGGTATCTGCGATTAGTGTCAGTTGCTGTTGTTCATCAGCATCGTAAAATCCAAGTGATTAAAAAGGTAAATACATCCATTAGAGTACTTATCTCATTACCAGTGAAGACTCATTATTATTGCAGCTGCCTAAATAGAATATAATGTGGGTTAATCATTCTGGTCACAGTAATTTCCACATCGCAAAAACACATGCGAGGTACTGCAACGTTTCTACCGAGCTCAAATGAGGGGCGAGAGGTGAAAAACAGACCATCATTTCTGCAATTTGCTCAAAATTCATTTCAAAACCATGATTACTTTGATATGTACGGGACGATGATTACACACGTGAGTATTATAGCCAATGAAGCTGCATGAGGCGAAAATAAGTTCACAGACTCAATCACTGCAGTTGTTCTACAGAAAAAAGGCTGTTTATTTGTATTAAAACACACAACATAACACCATTTATTGACACCCACTGTAAATGATCATTAGCACACTACTGAGGTCTCACTTTTAGAGAAATTATCATGAATTATCAAGGTCACATGCCAACCCCAGTTTTTTTTTGTTGTAAATCTCTCCTCTACATTGTGAGATACATATTTAACAGGTTTCGCAAGGATATAATATATATATATACATATATATATATAATAAAAATATATACAGTATATGAAAATGCACTGCATTAAAGGAAAAACGAAAGCATTGTATCTACAAAAATTACCCAAAGACTCTGAGTTCTGTTGATATAAAATGTGCAATAACACAAGCTCCCAATCAGCCACTGGTGCTCAGAAATTAGCAGTAATGAGACGGAGAAGAGCAGGTTCTGCCTGACTACATCCAGTTAAAATCCAATCTGAGGGACTGGAGGCAAAGAGGGCAGAAACAACTTACCTTAATTAATACGCTACAATAAAAGAAATAAAGCAACATCTAAAACCACAGTCTTTCTCTCCTCCTCGCTCTTGCGATCTTCATTCATGTTTCTATTCACAACGCATTCACACTCAGACACTTCCATTTCAAAGGTTAAGGGTTGGTAAGATTTTTTAAAAATGTTTTTAAAGTCTTGTATCCTCACCGAGGCTTCATTTATTTGATTAAAAATACAGTAAAAACAGTAATATTGTGAAATATTTTTATAACTTAAAATAACTGTTTTCTATTTTAATATATGTTTAAATGTAATTTATTCCTGTGATGCAAAGCTGAATTTTCAACATCATTACTCCAGTCTTCAGTGTCACATGATCCTTCAGAAATCAACTTTTATGCTCAAGAAACATTTCTTCTTATTATCAATGTTGAAAACAGCAATCTTTACATAAACAAAAAAAAGTCTTAAATGTCACTTTTGATCAATTTAATGCATTCAGTATTCATTTCTGGGACTTGACTGCATCCATCAGGAATAAAACATTTTTTCCTCTTTTGAATAATATGTACTGATAAATCATGCACAATAAGACCAATAACATTTATTGAAACACTAACTAGGGTCAATTTTGGTCTTCAATTTGAGATCTGTTCCAGCAACCTGAAAAGCCCCAAAAAATCTAAGCAAATTAAGCACAGAAAGCGAGAATGAATAAGAGGAAAACTAATTGTGCATCCCATCTAATGGAGGCTGATGCTTCTAGTCCAAACGCCCTCTGGGTCAGACGCCTGCTCCAGTACCACATCTGGACCTGCCAGTGTGACCCGATTGCTATTCTGTCAGAGCACACAGCCACGCAACCACAAATCCATCACATCAGAGCCGCGCAAAGCCGCGAGGGGTTTAAGTCAAGGTGTGTGCGCAGCTTTACAAACTCCAATGGGTGACAATCTTGAATCCAACACATGTGCGCTAGTACACGAAACAGGTCTGGGCCTATAGAGATGCTAGCTGGTGTCTAAGAATTAACGGGCAGCTGGGAGGAACCAGACCTGCCTGTGCCATCTGTAAATGTCAGCGGCAGCGTTTGCTCATTTTACACATCATTAAAGGCAATATTCCTAACCTGTATTAGAGCAATCAGCACGCGCCCATTACTGACATGGGCCTGGGGGGATACGGGCCAAACACTGAGGAGGCGAGAACGCACTCACCGTCTCCATCAGACGCACACACACAGTGTAAACAATAACACCCCTTATACACACACACACGGCACTTCAGACAATGAACTGAAGGTAAATGCAGACATAAACACTCCCCAACAATGATCTGATGCATGTGAATGCACAAATATATACAGTACATGCAGTCGCATTTATCTTCTTTACAAGGTCTAACAGAGGCACAGGGCTTCAAGGAACCAACACATTTGGTCCAAAAACACATGAAGCTTCATTTGCTGCCGGCTGTCTGGAAGCTGGGCAAGTGTA